CCTAAAACATTTGGTGAGGACATAAAAAAAACAAAAACTATGAGAGACCAGACTTCAACATATTTCTATCTCTTCATAATCAGGGTTACGCTAAAGTCTACTGAGAAGCTGGACAGGCTGGGGAGAGAGGGGGTGGGGTGAGATGAGGCAGGTGGGTGGGGTAGAATGAAGGAAGGAGGGCAGGGACAGGTAGAGAGAAACAGGAACATCAGGGAGGCCGTCTAAGCGCGCTCTCCGCGGATGCGGCGGGCCAGCTGGATGTCTTTGGGCATGATGGTGACGCGCTTGGCGTGGATGGCACACAGGTTGGTGTCCTCAAACAGACCCACCAGGTACGCCTCGCTGGCCTCCTGCAGGGAGAGGGGACGACACATGTTAGCAGGAGAGTTGTGTGAGTTTTAGTCACACCATGATATCTTTATTAACCCGTTTAGACTGGATGCAACATATGTGTATATACCTTTAAGAGTGGGAGCTATGTTTGCATGCTTCTCCCTTTAGAGCCAGATGAGACGTGTGAGTGTCATCCACGATGTCACAGTTTTCAATACATGTGACTAATGAAATACATTGTGATTCACTGGAGATTTTACAAGTTGAGTTTCAGACAATGGCTGATGGTCTAAGTGAGGTTATCGATATCAGGTTAGGGTTGGAAGAGTTTCATTGACGAAGAGAACGATGAACATAACGATGAAGAAGATTCAGACCCAGAGTATTTTCCTGCTGTTTTTTTCAAAAACACAAACTTTAAGGAAAAGCCATGCTTTACATGATTTCCCTCAGCTCTTCAGAAAACACTGAGGCCAGTTACAAACAATGTTTAGGTATTTAAGTGTGTTTTTATTTGCTGCCTTAGGTCTTAATGGGTTAATATACTTTGTGTACACACACACCTGCAGGGCACCGATGGCAGCGCTCTGGAAACGCAGGTCAGTCTTGAAGTCCTGAGCAATCTCCCTCACCAGGCGCTGGAACGGCAGCTTACGGATCAGCAGCTCAGTGGACTTCTGGTACCGACGGATCTCTCTCAAAGCCACGGTGCCGGGCCTAAAACACACAACAAAGTTCTAGCTCAATACACCTAAAAGTGTTATCTGCGGACGTGCTGCATGACACAAATCGAAAAAGATTTATTTTTACTGGATGTGTGAGTTATTCCAATTTGTTGACAAGTGGAAGTGCATGTAATTACCTGTAACGATGGGGCTTCTTCACTCCACCTGTGGAGGGGGCGCTCTTTCGGGCAGCCTTGGTGGCGAGCTGCTTACGAGGAGCTTTTCCTCCAGTGGACTTACGAGCAGTTTGCTTGGTACGAGCCATTATGTCAAAGTATCACCTGAATGCGAATATGAACAAGAGGAATCCTATACATTAGTTTATGATGTAGTTCATATTATTTCTCCCGGACCTGAAATTAAGCGTACACCCTCAGCTCAGGATATTTAGTTTACAGTTTCACAGCTAAAGTTAACTGTTGATTGAATTATACACATCTACTCAGAAACAACAGCATTAGTGTCTTCATCGTGGTCAAGGTTCAAGGTTACTTTATTTGTGTCCCTTGGGAGAACAAGTGTTTTGGGAATTGCTGCATTAAATAGGACACGTGTGCAAATTTAAGTTCTTGACCTTATTATGTTATGATCTGGCTCTTGAATTGGACCGAACTGAATATCTTGTATACAATCCCTTCTTCATTTTGCCATGGACTTTTGTATACATCACTTTGTAACTCCGTTTAGATAAGTGCTAAACAAATAAAGTAGTTATTATCTTAACCCAAATAAATCCTCTCGTGTTGATGTTATCACAGACGCTAACCCTCAGCTAACAGGCTGTCACGTTCAGTGTTGTTGTTGCTCTGGCAGCGGCACAGACACGCACAGCGCGCTGGGCCAATCCCGACGCAGCGGCCTCCCGAGCCCAACCAATCACAGCGCTGCCCAGGCCCGTCTCTCTGCAGCGCACCAATCAGCAGCGTCCCTCTCGCATACAACCACCAATAGCGTTTCGTTGTGTCGGGCTTTGAGGCGGGAGGAGCAGGAGTAACCCCGCCTCCTACCGCAACATTATGGCCGCAGAGCCAAACGAAGCTCCGACACACACACACACACACACACACACACACACACACACACACACACACACACACACACAAAGTTTGACATTTTCTCCTAAAAACACGAACCGAGCGCCCACGAGACAACACGAGCACACAAGGAGACACGCGTCGCGGCGAGACGAGCTCCACCAGCCGCGGAGCAGGCGCCGGGTGTCCGCGGAGCCGCGACGCAGGAGCGGCTGCAGCGGAGCCGCCGTGAGAACAGAGGAGGAAGAAGTGAACCCGGAGCCCGAGTCTGAAGCTGCTTTTCTCCCCAGCGTCGAAATAACAGCTCGTTTCTCCTCCGACCGACTCCCCCCGAGGACCGTCCCGTGCCCTGCGCTTTAAACTGCTCCGCGGCGGAGAGAGCGACGAGAACGCGAGACTTACCGGCGGTGAATTTCTCGCTGTTTCTTCGCTCCGGCGCGAGAGTGTTTGTCTGGCAGACTCAGATATTTACTATCTCACACAATGGAAGCGGAGCGGGAGCAAAATGGCGGCGGTGTCAATCACCCGTCTCCCACAATGCAACTGTCAACATTTGTAAACACCAACTTTTACTATCAAGTACTTTGAAATACTGTGTTCTCTCATCGCACCAGTGACAAATACCACCTTAGTTTGACTGTTATTGTGTTGCTGCAGTTTTTTTTACGACTGTTTCTTTGTTCACTATAGAGATCAGTACTAAATAAAATACAAACCAATGCGGGAAAAATAAATATTGATGCACTAGTCTCTCGAAGGACATAATGAAGAGTAAATCTAATTTATAAGGGTGATCCAAAACAAAATCACTTTTAAAAATATCAAAGAAAATGCAACATGTTGTCACCAGTGAAAAAAGTAATTCAGTTCTTCACTTCAGTCATTTCATTCTACGCTGATTTATACTTTAAATAAACTCATTCCTGCTCCATTATATTTTAAAGACAAAATACAATTTCTGCCCATTAGCATTTAACATCTGCACCAGCTATACATTGAATTGATGCCCACAATAGTATATTACTAATTATTAAAAATAGTGATTTGAACATGAAGTATTTTCACTTGAACTCTAGTATAATTTGAATTCTCCCCTGCCAGCGTGTTTAATGTGACTTTAGGTGAGAGTCAGATCAGTTAAGATCCAAGCTTATTATGATAAGCAGGTATGTTTTTAGGTCAATACACATTTTAGATAAAATATAGAATGTGGTCATGAAGCAATGAAACACTGAAGTTAAAAAAATCCAGCAAGCTAGATAACAGAGTATGTTACTATGTATATAGGGAAAGCCTTTTCAATTTAGTATAGTGTTTGTGTACAAACAGAACAGTGCACATTTCTCAAGCAAAGAACAGAAAATACATGGATCCATGATCTCCAACTCGCATTTTGATTTGAATATTTTTGTAAACAGTATTCACATTCATTAAATATCATGTGTCCTCCTTTACCTTTGCAGCGAGTATTTTTTATTGATTGTTGTATCTTTCTTACAAAGCTTTTTATTGTGTCACACGAACAAATAAAACTTGAACACATGCCCATGTTTTCAATAATTTTGGTTGAACCTAAAATATAAAATTTGGTTTAAATAAAAAAGTAAGTTATTTTTGTAATCCTTCAAAACAGCCTTATTATGCATTCCAGTTTGTTGTTAGAAATTAGCCCTCAGGGTTGATGTCACAAGGATATCTCAGATTAACTCTTTGCAAATCTATTTGAGCACTCTATTCTGAATTAAGTGACTAACAAATAAGTGTAGAAAACTAACCCCAAAAGGAATGTTTTACTTAAGACTGTAGAAATGTGCAAATGAAAACAAACTCATGATCATCACATGAAAGAGTAGAGAAAATCAGAATATCAGCTGCCGCTCATGAGCTCAGGTCAGTTGTGTCAAAGCTGTAATCAGTTTGATCACTGATGCTGAAAAACTACTTTGATTTATAACCAACCTTCATGTTGGTCTTTTAATACCTTGATTTTTTTTAGTCAAATGTACACATATCACAGTTCAGTGTCCTGCTCAAGCATTCTTCTAACTTTACTGGTATTTTTTATCTCTTGGCTTGAATGTTTTATCTGCCAGTATTAAAGCAACTGTTTATGCCTCTTTTTAATAAAATGAATAAGTCGGAGTTTGAAACTCCAGCAAAGAGTGACTGGAGGGGTATGACGAACAATGTTCAACCCATGGAGAGAATGACCTTTTCACTAAATCTAGGAATTGTTGCAATATTGATACCTGGAGTAGGGAGCATTCTATAGTTGATCCAGATTGTGACTGGGAGCCAGTGGAGGTCATGTGGAACTGGAGAGATGGTGGTCACTGGTCACTGCTGTGTTTTGGGGCAGAATCCAGATTTGGTAATGCACACTCAATAAACCGAATCCTGATTGAAATGATTGATATAGTTCTGTACGAACACAGAAAGACGTGTCAGCATACCTGAAAAAAAAGAAAAAAAAAGGCAGGCCAGTAACTTAAGTTAACACCAGTGCAATAGTGTTACCACTGTGATCAATACTTATTTAGGATAAACTGCTCTGGATCAAACATCAAATAAATTTTTTTTAACATCCTATGTAGTTGATAGAGCCCTTTACACACACACACTGCCCATAGATGCACTGTATGAATGTGTGTGAATGGCAAACTGTACTGTAAAGCAATTTGAGTGGTCATCAAAACTAAAAAAAGCTCTATATGAATACAGACCATTTACAATTTACACACACACACATCCCTGTGTATTGAGAGGACATTAAATTCACTCTAAGTCTCCACATTAAAATGGAATGCTTTACATTGTTTACCACAACATGAGCAAGTTAGACTTCATGACTGCTATGAGTTTGTGCAGATTTGACTTGATTCTGAACCAACCACAAGAAACATCATGCACATAATAACACACATGGATTACAGCTATTCCTGACCAGTTTTATTTATTTCATCTCTAACTTTAGATACCTCTAGTTTGAGACAAGAGTGTTTTCACATTCAAGTACACAGTGCCTTACTTTAACACCCCATCTGAAAAGGTAGAGGCTTTAGATAAGGCAAGAGGAGCAAAACCTGCAAGCAATATAGAAGTCAAACGGTTACAGAGTACAACCTGGATTTAGACATTTGAACATATTATAGTTTTTCCATTATGATGAACCAAAAGGTCATGTAGTATAATACCAGATGAATGTACTATACATTAGTATCCAGCTTGAAAAAAGTGGCCCCAGAATCTTTAAAAAATGTTTCCATCCCTCAATGTTTTAAATTCAGAACCAGTGAGGTGATACAAAACTGAACAACCACAGCAGGTCACCTGCAAACCCTGAACTGCCAAGAATCCTCAAGAGTGATCTGAAATCACATTGTTTGTGCAGTATGACAATGGGCTTGTATGACAATGACAGTAAACAAAATCACGTCTGTAGGAACTCAATTTAAGGCTCGTCACCAAGTTGTTTTCTTTGCACTAAGCAGCGGCAACATGTTCCTCGCCACGGTGTTCGAGAGGATGTCATTTTCAGATTTGTTCAGTTAGTCCAGTTCATGAAAGTACCTTGATTTTGAAGAAAAAATAAAAATGACTTCTGACACCCCTGCGTACACATCTAAAGCTACAACACACACACACATCCATCTTCCCCACTTTTATCACGTTATGTGCAACAACTGCCCCGAGTCTTTTTGGTCCCTCTTCCACAGAAGAACAGACAAGTACCAACACATTCCATCAGAAGAAATCAAATCTGCTCATAGCAAAGTTATGTAAAAATGGCACAGTCACAGAGAAAATGAGAGATTGATAAGCTTTGTATTAACGGAAACAAACCCACTGCAGCTCCTTATTAAAAACTCACACTCAGCTGGATTCTTCAAGACAAACATGGACACACCGTGACGCCTACTTGAGTACATATTATCAGAGAGGGGGGGCGTCATGACCTACATGTTTCCTCCTTCAATAAGTTGTGCTGTAACATCCAGAAAGAACGCAATGGATAGTGAACTACACAGAACTGTTCTGTAAGAGATAGAGAGTGCATGCATTTCTAAAATGCAAACCTTAATCCCAGTTGATGCTCAGACCCAGCGCCACGCCTAAAAAAAATACAACTAAAAATCCCTTTTTACTAGCGATTCTAAATTCATATATATATATATATTGTCTATATATATATTTTACATTTTTGTAGTTCCTGTTGAAAGTACCTTACGTCTTTCATATCATATACACTTTTGACTGGGTACTGTCTCAATTAATCACAATAACATGACCTCTTGAACAGTAATTTCAGGTACATTCAGGACTTTCTGTAAAAAGTCTTACAATTTTCTTTACAATTCATTAAAAATACAAAGGAGCAAAAATATTGGTGATGCGACAGTCCACTGTCCTGCAGAGGCTGCTCAACCGTAGCTCATTAGTCTTTCTTCTACACAGCTAAAGATAATTTCACGTTTCCTCCCTAAATGCTTTATTCTGTACGGATCTCTGTCTCTGACCTCTGCATGGCCAGCTCAGTCTGGATATAGGCTCCCTGGCCCAGTGCTGTGGAGTACGCTCTGTTGTTGTGGCTCGCTGAGAATCCAGGGGCGGGATAGGAGCCGGAGCCTCCACGTTTTTGGACAGGAGCCTGAGGTTGAGGTACTGGGTGGTAATCGTCCAAGTTATCATAGTGGGACTGTGCCGGTTTTGCGCTGTGTTTCTGATATGAGTAGTCTCTGTCCACGTCGGCTTTGCCCTGGTTGTAGTGCTGCTGCTCTCGGACGCTGTGCGATCGCTCGAGTTTGGAGCGGGCCACTTGTTCCCTTGGAGCCGACGGTGGGTCTTCCGCACTGTGGTATCCGCTCGACGTTTTCACTTTACTCTGGTGGTGGTCAGAATCAGGACACTCGTACCGGGGTTGGAAGTTTCTCTTGTTGGGATACTCCTGCTGCCAGTGTTTCGACCTGCCGCTGTCTCCACCCAGCTTGTCGTCTCCAGTCTCGTACTTGGCCTCGTGTCGGCCGCTCTCCTGCTGATGGGAGAGACTGTGGCTCAGAGTAGCAGGAAGGGAGTGAGAGGATTGGCATTTTTTGGAACTGCTTTGCTTGGTATGTCCATCCGACCTGTCACCTACTACATTGCCCTGGACGTGCTTGTCAGTCTCCATGTACATGAGAACATCAGGGTCTGACACCATGTGTCTGGGGAGGTAGCGGCCATCTTTGCTTTCCGCTACAACCAGCACAGCTTTACCTGGGTCAGATTTACTGCGCAGGTGTAGGGTTTCATAACCTGATATATCTGCTGGTGTGAACAAGCCGACGTTGTCATACTGAGAGAGGACGGGGCCTTTAATCCTCTGTCTGGCCCTGCTCTCCCTGCGGATGGAGTGCATGCGAAGCCTTTCTGACTCCTCGGGGTCCCAAGAGAGGTAAGACGCAGCCTCCTTGGTCCCATGGCTGGGGGGCATGTCCCTGCTCACGAAGCTGTGCTCCTTCCCGGGTGGTATAACATGGCGAGCAAGGTAGTGGTAGCCAGTGGCCTTTCCACCTGGTCGGCTGGCAGCAGCTCCAGGATCTCGGCTGCCATAGGAGTGGATGTGCCGGATTCGGATGGTGCCATAAGGGTCGATGTCATAGTAAGGAGCCTCCAGAGGGCTTGAACCAGAGTAAGGACTATAGCGATACTGGACCCGTCCGTTCTCAAAGTAAGGCTGCAGCTGAGTGACGTGGTAGTCGGCTTGTGAGGACTGCTGTGAGGACTGCTGTGAGGACTGCTGTGAGGACTGCTGCGGGGGCTGCTGCTGCTGGGGCTGCTGCTGTGGGGGCAGCTGTGGGGGCTGCTGGTAGGCTTTGCACGGATACACAGGCCTGTGGTAGAAGAATATGTCATCTTCTGGAGGAACCTCTGTCCTTTGGATGGGCACTGAGCGAACAGCGGAAGGAACATGGAGTGAGTGCACTCTACGGATGGTGGGATAGCCGTGGGTTCTGTCATGGCTATAACCCGGATGCCCTGGCCCCGGTGACACAAACACACTGCGGGGGTTACCTCTGGATTTAATGGAGTGGTGGTATGACCTTGGGCCTAAAGTGCTGTATCTGTTGTCTACTCTGGCACTATAAGGTATCTGAGGCTCAGACTTGGACACGTAGGAGAGGTGTGGGGGGACACTGTCAGGCCGGTAGTGGTGTGGCATGGTCTGCGGGCCCAGAGGAACAGGCCTCTGGTGGTAGTATGAGGCTCCTGGAGGTTCAATTAAAACGGACTCTCCTTTACCGTGGTACAGGTAGGCTGGCTGGTGCATGGAAGATTTATGAGGAGAAAGAGGATGGTGAGGCAGAGCATCTTCATGGTGGCCAGGTGCAGGGCCCTCATCCATGATGTGATAGGAGGCTTCACTTTGGCTGAGCGCTGCAGTGGCCAGTTTGCTCTCGATGGTGCGGACAGGAGGGGCAGGAGGTTTGGGTCCGTAGGAGTCGTGATACTTTGCAGGATCTGTGCAGGGCTGTACTGGCTTAATGGCCTCCCAAGGCTTCTCAAAAGGCTCAGCAGAGGTGGGGGCCACTCTTGCACTGGCCTTCGAGAGTGTCGGAGGCTGGGAATGGACTTGTGTCTGAGGCTGCGTCTGAGGTTGAGGCGGTGTAGGAAGATGAGGCTGTATCTGGGCTTGTGTTTGATGCTGTGGCACGGACACAGCATGCCTTTTGGGCTTTTGAGCAATTGGAGGCGGCTGTTCTGAAGGTTTTGGAAGGATTGCTGGTGGCGCAGTGCCCTCTGATTTAATCTGCGGAAAACACAACAAAACAGACTTATTTACACCGAAAAATTATTATTTCTTTTTATGTTTTCATCAGTCTGGTTACTGAGCTGTTTCATCACAGAAGCAGCAGCAGAATGTTATATTTGTTCTTTTACTTGTTTTAGTTTTTCATGCTCTTCTTTTTCCTCTGAGAGTGGAGCCTTATGTTTAAGGCATAGTTGGCTTGTTTGATTTACAATGCAAGACAGCACTGAGTATTAGACAGCTCTTTAGAGTTATATAATCCTATTAGAACAAACAGACATGTGAGTGGATCATCTCATATTGCTTTCAGCATGAGAGTAAGTAAACATAAGTGTTGACTCACTGATGTTATGCAGCATATGTGAATAATGAGTACATTTTGATCATGTTTTTGGCAGGGCAATAATATGATCATAATAATGTATAATCATCAATCAACATGATGAAGCTAATAGGATGTGACACTTACCTCAGGACCAGGTTGTGGTAAGACTCCTGTGTCTTTACAGCTGTCACTGGGGGTGGAGGCTGGGGTGGAACTGGCTGCGCTGGTATGAACTGGGACCTGTCCTGCAACAGCCTGGTGTCTTTCTGGACTTTTCCTGGTTGGAGAAGTCGGGCTTACTGAACTAGAGAGTGGAGAGCACTTGTATAGAGGAGTGTCAGGTGGGGTGGGGTCTTTTGGTGGTTGTGGTCCAGGTGGACCTCTTGAGGACTTGGCACTGTCTGGCGGCTTGGTGATCGTGCCGGTACACTCAAGCGGCTGCTGCTTGATTGGAGGACTAGGAGAAGAAGGATATGATGAGGCTACGGGGAAAGCCGCGGCAGTGCCGTTTGGTGGTGGGGGACTTTCCCTTTCAGCTCTCTCCTCGGAGGAAGTCTGGAAATGTGGGTCCAGCGGATGCGGCAAGTCCTGGAAGTCACAGGCGTCCTGCAGAGGGGACACCGGTGTTGGGGGCTCAGAGGACCATGACTGAGACTGAATGGAGACCTGCTGGGCAGACTCAGCGAGGGCAAGGGCCAACATGCGGGCAGCATTTTTAGGAGGGGGAGGAGGAGGGGCAGAGTTGGGAGCTGTGGAACTGAGGGAATGAGGGGTGAGGTCCTTTGAAGAGTCCGGGGCTACAACTCCTATCAGGGACACAAAAACACAAGGGATCTCTAGTTGAATCAATAATCAAGAGAGCAGTAGGTGAAGTAAAGAAGTGACAGCAGGCAGGCAGGTTTTAAGGTGCTTCAAGAGTGGGAGGGAGAGGAAACGTTAAGCGTAGAGCTCAAGAATCATATAAAAACATTGATGTAAATGATGAAATCCATGCAAACCTCTGAAAATATATCAAGAAAACAATCATTTATGTAGTTGATTGCATTGATCACATTATTTTCAGTCAGTCAGAAACATGCCAAAAACTACATTTACAATACAAAGGTCATTGTCTGCTTCTTACCTTGGTGGTTCTGGCTGCTGGCAGCTGGTGTCTGCTGAACGCTGTCCTCTCCCTTCACTTCTCGACTGTACGTGTTGTCAAACGCTGCCAGCTTCGTGTGCAGCTCCATTTGGAAAGCTTCACCAAGGGACAGCTCAGCTGCCCTCAGCAGCACACTGCCCATCAGGGGAGGAGAGTCCTTGGGTATAACAGGAGGAGGTAACGGCTGTGGATGGAAATCCTGTCCAGCTCCATCTATGTCAGGCATCTCTGTAGAGAAAATCTTTGAAGTGGCAAAAGGACTCATGCTAATTGACTTTCCAGATTTAATAGGCGACACAGCCTGTGTGGGTTTATCAGTGTAAGAATAGGAAGTGGTCAATCTTTTGCTTTCCATGTTCTCTCCAGCAACACCACTGAAGTCTGTGGGAAACAAGGGGGTAGACAAGCAGCCCAGGAAGGAAGCTGAGAGGTCGGAGCCATTGGTCTTGCCACAGACGCTGCCGGGGCTCCTCTTTAATGTGGAGGCCTCGGCCCCAGCTGGTGAGTCATCTAGGGGGAAGGCATAGGAGGTGTCTGGGAGACTGCACTGGAAAGACATGGGGTCAAAGTCCAAGGAGGCCATGCCAATGTCTGGCGGGCTGAGGTCCACCTCTTCGCCTGCTGAGCGGGGAGGTGAGATGAGAGCAGGCACACAGATGGGCCCGTCGTCCCCGTCGCTGTCCTCTGTGCCGTCCAGGTTGTCATAGGAGTTGCAGTGTTGCCGGCTGTCCAGCAGCTCGCCGTTAAAGGAGGCTGACAGGGCATCGCTGCTGGAGCGCGGCCTCCGAGGACGGTACACCTTTGACTCTCCTGAAGAAGGAAAAAGATATAATCAGAACTAACTCACTTAAAAAGTCAAAGTGAAATGAAAGACACAAAACGTTTACCTTCCACATTATGCAGGGAACTCAGTGACTCTTCACTTTTGGCTGATCTTAACGTTGCTGTGTCTCCTCTGCCTCCTGTAACATGATGATTAACAGATATCAATATTCTTAAACTCTTCAGTCAGTAAGAATATTAATTTAACTTGTAGAGGAAAGACTCACCAGCGAGAGCCATGGCTTTCAGTTCATTTGGCTCACTGGGATTGCGGTGAAGCTTGCGCTTGGACATGGAGGAAGACTTGCCCAGGTTGAAGAAAGAACGCCAACTACCCACAGGGGACTTCTTGGATTTAATAGGAGGCCTCTTCCTGTGATTAAAATGGTGGAGAACAGACAGGGGAAAGTTAATTTCATTAAAAGATAATCAGCTGTGTGTAAAATCAGATCATCTTTATTTTTAATATAACTGTCCAAGTCTGAAACTAGAAACAGCCAAACTGAACTGGCAAACTGTGCCGGAACAAAATTAGTCTGCCTGCAGTCTTACCAGCAACCAACAGAGGGAGACACATCCTTGCATAAGAATTTTCCAATATCATTAAATACATATTTTTCAACAGACCCCACCTACAGTATCTGTCTGAAATATCTATGTCTCCGTCTATGTGTCTAATTAACATTGGTCTCATGATGCTGTGTTTTCAGGAGGAGGAGTCAACAAACCTCTCAGTGGGAAACTCGATGACGGTGTGGAACTTGCCCTGCAGGGCAGCTGGACCCTCGCCCACCTCGATGTACTTGCTGTCTTCAGTGACCGGAGAGTTGATCTGAGCCTGAGTCCTGGCCTGGGCCTCCTCCAGACTCAATAGTTTTGTGGAGGGTGATGAAACCAGCAGGGACTTCGGCCGTGACAACGAATTGTGACCTAGTGATGTGGAATCAAGCAGGAGTGTAGCAATGAATGCAGCGGTTATTGTAGTGACTATTTGATCAGGGGTATAATCTATGTTTATGTGCGTACCTGCTCCCTCTCGTATTAGTGTGCTGAGTTTAGTGCTAAAGAGAACGTCCACATGGTTGAGGATGAACTCCACAACCACTGACTGGATTCTGACTTCCATGAAGGCCGCTGTGCCGCTGAAGCACGCAGATTCAATCTGTTTAGACCTGAGACAAACACAGAAACATGACAGTGAAAAGAGAAGACGTTACGCTACATTTTAAAGATCAATGTGATCGACCGAAGAACAATCTGCAATTTCAAGGCCCTGAATCTAATTCTGTTTAAGTGGTCAGATTTTAAGTAAAATCACGTACATAAAATGAGTTTAAGATGTGCTTCCAGCATTTGATGTTGCATGTGAGCTTTAATCATTCCACTCAGACAGAGTGACTCATTTAAAAAATACTTTGTGCTGCACAGCCCCCATTATCCCAGCTGAATCAAGTCTGAGAAATCAAGTAGAATGGGAAACACCCATAAAACTGAACCACATATTAGATTATCAGAGTTACTGCAAGTAAATAACAGGGAATTCAAAAAAGATTCTATTGAGCAGGATGGCATCTTACCTCAGCAGATTGGGGGCCCACACTATAGCCAGATTCTTGCTGTGCATGTTGGTGATGTAGCTGAAGGTTGCCAGGTGAGAGAGGTGTCTCATGAGGAACTCCAGAGTCCTAGGAATCAAAAATTATTATTTATCGTGATGTGCACGCTAATGGAAATAGGAGATAGAAATTTGAATTTATATGCTTTCACTAAGAAAAGGAAAAAAGTATTCATCAGCACCAATGTCAAAATCTTCTGGGACTTGTTAAATTATTTCTGTCCATGCAGCATGGCACCACAAAAAAAACCTCTTGATTTTAACACTGAGAAACACGCTCACATGCACCATACATCCAGAATCTGGCAGTTACTAGGCCTGCCTGCAGGGGGCAGTATGCCTCCACACTGACCTGTAATGCGGTGGAGGAAGCTGCTGGATGACGTCATGGATTTTGATGAGCCGCTCTTCATCCGTTGCTGCTGATACGGCATCCTTCAGAGTCCAAACAAAGCAAGGGATGGAGAGATAGAGAGAGAGAGAGGAGATTTATCACTGCATCAACCTTAAACTCCATCACTTTATTCCCAGATTCACAGGCTGCATGGATCATGGGGTGGACATCTGTCCCCCGCCTCTCTCGCCCCCCCCCCCAGCTGCCATAACAACCAGCAAACATTTACTTCAACCTCAGGGACAGTTCTGTTGTGTTTGGAGAGGGTTTTTATTCCAAGTCACACAGAGAGTGGTTTGATACATTCGTAATGACAGGGTGTGCCCGGTACAAAGCTGTTACTTTAGGGGTGTCAGCGACTCAGCGAAGATTCATACAAAGAATTTCTGCAAGATAAATGTGAGGAACACGCTTTTTTCACTCGAGAGCACAATTTTGTAATCAACAGCCAGTCACGCTTCAATCAGTGTCCTTTGAGGACACGTGAGCCTAAAAAGGTCACATGCAGCGCAACTGACCTGCATCGACTCTTTAGATTGGTGTGTGTGTGTGAGGCGTGTTAAGTTCTGCCAGGGCTTTTGCTTACAGAGAATTTCTCGTAGAGCTGGTAGGTGAGCAGGGGGTTGGGCAGCTCTCTGAAGTAGAGCTTGCACAGCGAGCCGACACAGTGGATGTCCTGGATGTAAACATCTTTGGTCAGGTCGGGGATCTGCTCAGAGTCAAACTCGTGCCTGATGAGAGAGGGAGAGGGGGCGAGTCAGCACAGTAACTTTCGATAGCTCTGAAAAAAGATTGACATCAGCGAGTGGCTGCTGTTGTGTGATGGATGGATACGAGACACGAGCAAAGTCGAGCTGCATTTCACTTAAAATATTTATCTGTGACTACACAGTCAAACAAATCAAACTTAATAATAAAAGTGCAATATGAAGAAAATGGTGTCTGTGTCTTCCCAAGTGTAACAAAGCAACTAGAAACAATGGGGTTACACTAATAATTGTAGGTGATCAATTAAGAGATAATCAGCGAAACTAAACCACGAGGATAAACACCATTGCATGTTTGTGTTTACATATAAGCAAACACAATCCTACTCCATCTGAAAACTGACATGGAAACCTTAAATTTCCTTTCACAACACTACATAGTAAAACCTGTTTTCCTCAAAGTCCTTCAATAATCTTACATGGAATTTCTTTCTTAAGGTGAAGGCTATTCTGAGATACAGAGTTCCTCCTGTGGCACAGCACAGTCTGAGGAAGCAGCACAAAAACATCCTGATAAACACTTGAATCAGATCCTGTGCTGAACTGGCCAGCGTGTGTCTCCTACCGCAGCTTCTGGATATTTGAGGCGATCCCAGAGAGGCGGTAGATGCCGTCCACCACACCGTGTTTCTCGATGAACTCGGTGCAGCTCTTGAGGACCTGGGGCACTGTGGAGAGAAAACTTGTCGTCACATAACATCTCTTTCATTTAATATGTCTCCAGACTTCACTGAGCGCTACGGGGTCAAGGATAGGAAGGTTTTTCTTTTTCAAGTGTGCACGCAGCGAGGTCAGGCTTATAGGTCAGGGGCTTTTTGGACATCAGGCTGCAGGCTGTTGAGTGTGAATAAATGTTTTTTGTGCTTTCGGAAGGAAAAGCACTTTTTAAGATGAGAGTGGAATCATTTGAACCCTGTAAAGTGGAAAGTTATATATCCCGAAGAGCAGGCTAACCTATTTTCTACACTGACGCAGTTTTCTGCATGAGGCAAACAGTGAGATAGCTTGTTGTTGTTCTGTGTGAGTGAGGCAGTCAGCCACATACGGATAGCTTCAGATACAAAGCTAGTGATTGTGTTGGAGATGAGAGACAAACAAAAAAAGAAAAACCTCAGAAAAACACAAAACTTCTTCATTCTTCTCCAGCAAACGTAAATCACGGAGGCATGTTATTTATCCGTTTGTGTGTGTGTGTGTGAGAGAGAGAGATAAGGATGGCGAGTATGTGTCTAAGGAGGTTCCCAGGCCTCCCACAGCTTACACATCATTCCGATCATGACAGAGAGCTGGACACTCGCCGAAGCAGCTGTTCAGATGAATTCCAGACGAGGACTGTGAGGATGGACAAATCCACCACAAGATCTTCACACAGAAAGGTTTTGTTTTCAAAGTTCTCTTATCACAAAGATTCACAGCATGTGTGTTTTCACCACACAGCAAGAATTCATCTTTAAAACAACAGCTTTCACGACAGCTGCTTTAGTGATTTGAAACTGATTTGAGTGAAGGAAGGAATAAAAATATTTTGGCACCATCTCTGGATTCATCAGACTCCCAATGACAGCAGAGAGGTCAAGGCTCCTGATGAATGTAGCATGTTACACTGTGGAAGTTCCAAACCTCTCGTCTCAAACTGTTCATGAAACAAGCTTTGGGGAAAAACCCAAACGCTGAGCGGCCGGCATTAGGTTTGGAGGTCAAAGTTACAGTAATGACACACAGCAGGATTTTCTGTATTTGCTCCATAATTCCTGGTGTTGTATTCAGGAAAAAATGATAATTGAGTCAAAATCTGGAACACATGATTTTGTTGGTTGGAATTTCAGCCAGAAAATCGTGTAGCAAGCAAATGATATGTGGAGTGGCAGCTGACCATCGGCCCCAAGTGGACTGATCCCTAAATCTCTGGAGGTCATTTATCAGCTTGACTGATACATGAGGTTTTAATGGACATTTTTGAAAGTAGCATTTGCTTGTGGTTTCTACTTTTCCACTAGAAATCTCAGTTATTTGCAGCTGGTAACTGATATCAGTTAAAACTAATTCGATTTTTATTCTAATTGCATAAAATGACTTCATCTTAAGCAAATTTATAATTTACAGGTTATTGTGGGCAGATTAAAATGTTAAATTATTCACATATTTTATTACAGCGTTAAATGCTGATTTACAAGTCAAGTGCCACTACAGCTCGTCTACAACTCTGAGTAAGAGTTCCTCTGGTCTACTCATTAACTACATATTGTATTATTAACAGTGTTTCCCTCAACTTCACAAGATCACAGGTTTCTTTCATCTCTTGAGTCACTGCAGCCGTCAGAACACCTTGACTCTTTGACCCTGCAAAGTTTGATGGAGTGGTTTATCACTCCATGCAAAAGGTAAGACAGGATTAACAGAGGTTCAAGATAGACTGTAGCAACCGTCACGTGCTGCCACAAGCTTGTCAAACAGAGAGTACCTCCGCTCCCACCTGTGGCCTCTCTAAGTTAGCTAAAGTCACGTCTGGACACAGGATAGGATCCACTAACATGCATTAAGTTTCGAAGTTAGAGTCAGCAAGAACTAAAATTAAGATATTGATGAAGGCTCAGTGCTGGTTGTAGCTAATGATAGAGAGTAATCAGGACCATTACTCTCACTGAAACCATCACATCAGCTCACCTGCCACACTGCGTGAGAGATCAGAGGTTGTGTCTGCAGCAGGTGACTGTAGACCTCAGCTCTGCAATTATCTTCCACCAGAACACGCTGCTGTGTACATACAGTATGAGCTGAATATTCACTGTGAGGCTCAAAATGAATTTCAGCTGTTGGTAGTGTTAGAGGTGGAAAACGCTAAGCTTATGATGTCACCAGTATATGTTTATCATTAATTTGAATTTGAGCCTGATTACAAATAGCCTGACAAACTGCAGCACTTATAAAACAGTGCAGCTGGTGTGTCACATAATAAACACATCTAATTAAAGCCAAGGGGACTATTTCTTGTCCACGTGTCCCCACTTCCTTGAGCCTTATCAGCTGTGAGTTTGCTAGGCAACCAGACTCCACCATTAAATAGTCTATGGCCCAAAACTCAGCTGTAAAACTTAAACAAACATAAACTAAGATGTTAATCAGTGAATCAGCCTGTGGACAGAGCCAGGCTGAATTGTGTCCCACTGTTTCTGGTTTTTATACAAAGCTCACCTGCTCATGGCAATAGCTATATAGGCAGAGCTAATTGTATCAACCCTGAACATCTATTGTTCTGCAAATAAGCAAATAAATATAATTCCCAAACTGTCCATTTAAACTGCTGAGCACCTGGTAATATTTTGAATGTAAAAATGTTTAAGAACTTTACAGGTACGACTGGAGAAGGTACTGTGGAAAAGACAAAGTGATTAACAGGTAAACACAGAGAATGTTGTAATTCAAGTATTTTATAATTTAAGGTAATTTATGGAGAATTTCAAGCAGAAATGGATCCAGGAAGTACCACTAATGTCAGGTGTGTCTGCATTTGAGTATTTCTCACCATCATGTCCTGAGTTCAGGAGGTGTTCTCCCAGGTCGCAGCCGAACACCCTCTCCCGGAGGATGCCCCTCTGCTTCAGCTTCTGCTTGGTGGGCCGGGACTTCATGAAGGAGCGCAAGAAGGTGATCAGCTTCCCGTGCTTCTTAGACACTGAGAGGCGAAGGAAGCAAGCAGGGACACATCTTAGATTCCTTCCACACATGTTTAGTACACTACAGTAAGCGTGGGTTTGACACTGGCTCAGCTTTCACACACGTTCTGTCCATGCACTAGATTGAAACCCCATACAAGGTGCTCAACGTTGTCCCATTGTGTATTTCAGCTTCATTATAATGCAAACCCTTCCTTTATGCATGTCTGGTTTCCTTGAAGCGAAAGCTTCATTCTTAAATACCACCTCCCAGGCAACTACAAAGGAATCCTCCACATCCAACACCAGTGTCCTCAGTTCTTCCTCAGAACGAGACAAAAAAAAAAAAGGAGCAGATCTACTTAGAAAACCCAACCCGCATTAATCAGATGCTTTTCCTGGGAAAGGGTCTTAAGCTTCTTAAACTACACACCAGTTATTTTCTCTGCCTCAGAGTGATGTGGAAAGGCTATCAAGTGAATCAAACAATCTGCGGGGAGGAACAATGGAGCTGGCCTCCACACCAGAAAACCCTCAGTGAAAATCACATACTGGCAGACACTGGTCAGATGACAGTAGCAGTGAGAGTATTTTTCCACTCCGGGGTCATTTAAAGTAATTCAGCCGGTGCAGATGAAATGAACTTGTCTCATGAAAGCATCAATTTTCCTGGAACTGAACAAGAGTGTGGTGTATCACTGGTCTCACATTGCTGAAAGAGCAGATTAGAAACCAGTTACACACCATAGTGCGTCTCACACTGGTTCTAATGACAGTAGGTTCACTGATGCCTTTCAGTCAAATGACAGGTTAGATATTACATACAGTAGAAATACTGTTGCTCTCAAACCAGTTATTCACCTTGACTTTTAACTTATCAAATTTCATTTTGAAGTATAATCCCATGAAAGAAGAGTCCTACTAATCATCACATTTACAAGATCTTGTCCAGATGAGCTCTTTTAAACCTTATGCCTCACTGCACTGCTTTTGTCTTGGACCTTACGTCAAAGAATGAAACAATCTCATTTTGTATGTCCCTTTCCTCTCACAGCTAAAAGCTACCCTCAGCTCCTGTCACTGATTCAGTGGATACCTTCTCATCTTGGATCTCACCTTTTTCCTCCTTCTCTTTGATCCTCAAACTAACCACTAACATCGTACCGCTCTTCACGCCGACTTTGACCAACAATCTCCTGTCTGAGTTGCTTAACTGGAAAAACTGCGGTGCCGCATCAGTTTTTAAAATTTTTTTAATTCCAGGTCACATTGATTTGTCTGGATTTTTATTCACAGTCACGATCGCAGCCCTTCCACTTCTCTTATGTTTTTCACAGACTCAGCCTCATATTAAATTTACCTGCTGGGAGCTCCAGACCAAAAGAAGAACACATTTAAGATTCAGCCAGATAAATAACTAATCTTATTTGGGGTAAAATGATTGGAATACAACTACATGTAGGTCACTGCTTGATAAACCCAAGCTGAGTTAGAGACAGACACAGCTGCACTGTGTGTCTGATAGTGTTACAATAGAGTTGTCAAGTCTTCACCTACTGCTTTTAGTGATAATACTAAAATGAATTACACTTAAGGAAGTACATAATGAAGTGCACATGTGCGCTTATGAATATAATTACTGCAAATATTTCAAAAGTGCCACAGTGTGAGACTCAGCCCCTTGGGTAAAGACTATTAGGTAGGAATGAATGAGCAGCTGCCTGTTCTGCATGATAAATTCACTCTATGGAGGTAAACTGCATGCAGCAGACTTAATTGAGAGTTTGAGCACATTTTAATAAAAACATCAAGGCTGCAGTCAAACTAATAAGCTGAATGGACTGCAACATTACTTTTACTTATATTAAATTTCTCATTGACCCTTTTCCACCTAATTAGATCTGGTTCTTGAACCGGTTCAGTTCAAGATTCTTTTATCAAGCATGTGGCGTTAACACAGGGTGTTGCACAGTGCAAAATGAAAGTAAACAGTGATAAACTGTGGGTGTTTGTTTTTTTAATGATAATGTATTTGTCAGCAGACCACTGCACGCTTTTTACCCCCAATCATTTCTCACATGCCTTCTACATCCTCTCGTCCCAACAGCTAGAATATGACAATCCCTCTGATGTTGTTAAGGTGCACTCTCAAATCCCTGCTATTTTTTTGTTTTTGGGTTCCAATTTATTTTTGGTTGAAAAGCTCTGAATGGTTCACATTAAAGTGCACCCGCCAGAATATAACCCTGTTACACGTTGGTGGAAAAGGATTGTGTGTGTTGGCAGAATACTAACAAAATAAAGTGTATGCACACAGTGAGAGTGCATGAGAATATGTTACAGATTAATGTTGCCACTGTGACACATTACTTTTTCCATTCAGGAGCAGTAGAAACAGTAACGATGATAAATCTCAAGTCTGGGGGAAAGAGTGATAAATAAGGAACAGTTTAGATTAACATCCAATTCATTGTTACACATACGTCTGAAAAAATAACTGAAGAGTTGAAGGCAGTTTAATTCCCCAATCATCCCACAAACAACCCCAGAAGACCCCTTATTAATACTGTGTGGTACAGAGTTTGGGTTTTCTCAAGTTTAATTCCTATGTCTAATAATGAAAACACACACAATTGTGGCTCAAAATAAACAAATCCTACCCAGGACAGATTTATAACCGCCTCGCTCCTCAAAGTAAATAAATAATGTTTGAATCCAGAGTCTCTATGGCCATTTAAATGAAGCAGCACAATCAATTCTGAATCAACAGTCGGCCCCTGAGCCAGCATCTGTAAACAAAACCCAGTGTTTCATTTCAGGAAGAAGTGGAGCTGCACTTCACCCCTCCAGGAACAATTCCTTCTGTGCTGCTCCAACCAGAGACAAAACCGCTGAGGCAGCTTTGTTTACTCACTGTTTAGGCATCAAACAGGGGCCTTCAGTATCACGTAGGGAGAGACGTGAAAAAGAGGAGTGCAATGACTAGCACTACTCTCCAGAGCACGGACAGAGACTCCCTTCTGCCTTCTGTCGTGCAGATGACAGCCCGAGGGCTATAGCAGCTATTCAAGCATGCTCAGCACTGTCGCCGCTGCTGACACACTCACTGCTGAGCTCCAGCTGGGTAAAAGGCATTTCATTTGAGAAGAGTGGGATTGATGAAGCGGCTCTCTGTGACATTAATTATAAGATTTACAGCTTCAGACTACAGTTGTTGGGTTTCACAAAGTTGGAAGACTAGAAGGACACATTTAAAAACTAGTGATTGAAGGAAATACAGCAGGGATCAGGTTATCCTGACGTGCTTATATTTATGTATTTTTATGTGTCAAACTCCAAAGAGAGATAAAAAAGGATCCTACATTTCCCACGATGCAATTGGATCCAGTCTTTAATTAGCCCCTAGTAGGCTGGTGAACACTCACAGCTTTCAGATGCCACACCTACAGTTTGGCTTTCTTTATCCGTTTCTGGTCTCAAGCTCAGAACCCTGTTCACATCACTTTGACATCGCATGGGGTTGTTTTTCACAGGCGGAGCAGGGCGTACCATCACAGCTTAAGTGATATTCAGGAGGAAAACTAGTGATGCCCTTTCAATATACAAAACATGTTTCTCTTTTACTGACCAAATTCATAAACCCTGGCGATATAACTTTGATATGTGGCTCTCTAAAAGGTGCTTCGGCTTCGAGATATTTACAGTGAAGGAAATAATTGTCCAACAGATCAAATCCAGACAGAACAAAGTTGAGCACGGAGAAGGATGGTTTCTGCCTGATGAACACTGACAGGTTTCAGATGCAGCCCTTAACCGACTGCGCTCCTATGACGAGGCTTTTCCTTCAGAGAGCCCCAGTGAGAGGCCGGGATATGACAAGCGGGGGGCGAGGGGAAACGAGGCCAAGCATTACAGCAGGAACAATTACAGACGTAATGGCAAACATCATGCTCTCTTTCCCCACTCCAGCCTCAGACCGACCACCTCATTCCGCTCGGCCAGCGAGGAGCTTTTCGAAGCACGCAGACTGGAGGAAAATTCCAACTTCATGGCAACGCTGCAACGTCCTAAAGTTGGAACGGTGACACCATAGAGGCAATCACCCTGAGATATTTGATACATCTACTCGTCAGTGTTCCCTGAATACACATGCACCAGTAGGCGTGACCGCGGCTCACTGGGGCTTCACAATGCTATCATCATGGCTCAGCTCTGCCCTTTCACTTCAGGCAGCACCCCCCTCGAAACTCAACAGCCACACACACTCACACAACCATGAAGGCGGCGGAGCGGGAAATTCAAACTGCCCTCCTCTGTGCTCTTCTGGTTTCAAGAAACCCCTGAGAGGACAGGTTGGATATGATTACATCGTCAGTCTCAGGTGTCTACAAGCTGCCAGAGCAAGAGTTTTGGCTGTAATGTTATTTGTGAATTAGTCATGGGCTTATAAATAAATGTAATGTCTTTTTACTGTGGTGGGAAATTAAAGTCCACCAACTGTCAAAACCACTGCATAGACTTAAGATCTAAAGATAAACTTGACTGGGCACAAAATCTTCCATTGTATTCCTTTTACCACAACTAATCCTGAAATACTAATATTTTTAAATTTCCGTGAGAAGTTTATCTTTTACAGCCTAAACTGGCTAAGTCTAAAAGAACTGCACAAGCCAACAACTTCATCACCATACCTTTTCCTGCTCACTGCCAATAACAAAAGTCCATTTAGAGGCAACTAACACACAGATGATTTCATACTCAACACATAACCCTGGGAGACAGTGTGCTTTATGCTCATAACACGTCTCCTGTATGTGTGTGTGCATTGTTGTTACCAGAGTAAACAGAGTCGTCTGCCTAAGAGACAGCTGTGAGTATCCTCTGTTTGGACACAGGAGCGTAAGTGTGCAAAAGAAAATATGAGCAAAATGCCCGAATTGTTCTGTCTCATTGAACCAGCAAACAACAAATTCAGCAAAGAGAAGTGAGGACAGAGGGGGAACTGTCGGCCAACGCTTGG